TTGGGGACATTGGGACATTGGGGACATGGAGGGATTTCGGACATTGGGGACATTGGGGACATTTGGGGGATTTGGGGACCTTGGGGACTTTTGGGGACATTGGGGACATTGGGGACAGTGGGGACACTGGGGACATTTGGGGAGACTGGGGACACAGGTGACACGGGTGACAGACACGGGTGACAGACACAGGTGACACACACGGGTGACACACACGTGTGACAGACACAGGTGACACACGTGACAGACACAAGTGACACAGGTGACAGGCAGGGTGACTCACGCGTGGCCTGCGCTGACCGGCGGCCGTAGGAGCTGCGGGCGCGGAAACGAACGGCCGGAGCGAAGGCGGCCCTGGGGACACCATGGGGACATCATGGGGACGTCACCGGGGACAGCGGGGACAGGCACTGAGGTGACACTGGTGACATCAGAGCTTGGCGAAGGGCACGTTGGTGACACTCAGGTGACACTGGTGACATCAGAGCTTGGCGAAGGGCACGTTGGGGACACTCAGGTGACCCTGGTGGCACTCAGGTGGCACTCAGGTGACATCAGAGCTTGGCGAAGGGCACGTTGGGGACACTCAGGTGACCCTGGTGGCACTCAGGTGACACTCAGGTGACCCAGGTGGCACTCAGGTGGCACTCAGGTGGCACTCAGGTGACACACAGGTGACACTCAGGTGACACAGAAATTGGACAGGTGACACTCAGGTGACACTCAGGTGACACACAGGTCACACACAGGTGACACACAGGTGACACAGAAATTGGACAGGTGGCACTCAGGTGGCACTCAGGTGGCACTCAGGTGACACACAGGTGACACTCAGGTGACACACACAGGTGACACACAGGTGACACAGAAATTGGACAGGTGGCACTCAGGTGGCACTCAGGTGGCACTCAGGTGACACACAGGTGACACTCAGGTGACACACGCCGTCCCTCACCCGTAGCGCGTCTCCTTGTGGCGTCTCCGCGCCGCCAGCGCCACCAGGGCCAGCAGGGCCAGCGTCCCCAGGGCCACCAGGGCCACCAGCACCGGCCACCAGGCGCCGCCCGGCCCCGCGCGCCGCACTGCGGGGACAGCGCCGTCGTCATCATCGGCATCGTCGTCGTCGTCATCATTGTCATTGTCACTGTCATCGG